TTTCAGGACTGCCTGCAGAGAAGCCCGGGGCGCACACGTCCCTGCACTGGTTTCAGTGTCGGCAGCAAAGCCTTGGGGGCATCCCCACAGGGGCTGGAGGAGTGGGCTCCAGCCCGGCACAGGCGGGGGGCTGAGAGGCCAAGAAACACCCTCCTGGCCTAGACAGGAAGCCTTTCTTCCCTTCTGCTGGCGGCTGGCTCAGGCCCGGATGCAGGTGGCTTCACACCTTTCTTTTCCCCGTTCCCTTCTGCCCATAAAGGCAGACGTTAGAGACTCAAAGCTCGGTCGGGTGCTAAGGGTTAGAAAATGGAGACGCTCCTGCGGCAAGGAGTTGCTCTGGGTATTGCTTAGCAGCCAGAGCCCGCAAACCGCCCCAGACTCCCTGTCTCCCGCCGGGGCAAGCGAGTCCCCCACGCTGTGCTCGCGCACTCACACCAGCACTGGCACATCAGCCACCCGAGTGCCCTGCACATGGGAGCATGCCACAGCCACAGCCACGCCAGCCTGCCGGTTTCACTCGTAAGACGTGTTTCATGACAACGCTGCCCAAACATTTCCTGCTTGGAGCCAGCAAACAGGGGCTCCGCCTGCCAGGTGAATGCGCTCTTGCATAACGAGGCGGGCAGCAATTGCTGAAACCGCGGGTTCTTGAGGCATTTCCCAAAATAGAAACTCCTCTGTCGCACAGGGCACGGCCTCCCCCACCCAGACCACGGGCCGGCCGACCCCGGGGCCGCATTTGCATCCTCCGGGGGCCATCGCACCTGCTCCAGACGCCCATGCGAGCCACCTGCTCTGGCCCCCCTCGGCTACTTATCAATAAGGGAGCGCGTTGAGAGTTCGGCACCAGGAACACCCCATGCATTTAGCACCAGCGCCTTCCCGCCGCGCTGCAAAGGGCTGGGAGAGGCTGCAGAAAGAGCCAGGGTTCCTGCCCTGTGCACGCTGTTGGAAATCCCCATCCCAGCCCCCGAATGGGGGTGGCGACTGCTTCCTGGCCCCTGCACACTCAACCTGTTCACACTCGTCTGGGAATTGGGAGCTGGGACCTCAGAGGACGAGCTGGTCTCAGGACAGTGAAGGCGAATGGTGCCAGATGAGCCAGACAGGGTTTGCAAAGGAGAAACAGGCTCTGATCCCTTGAGCCTCCAGCATATGGCACAGGAGTAGCAGCACTGGGCCCCTGGGGGCGGAGGGGGTCCAAGGCTTGGACAACGCACCGCGACCCCCAAGCAAAGGCCCAAGCACGTTTACCGCCCGGCGCAGAGGGCCGTGGTCTTCTCTGCCCGGCTCGGGACAGGACAGCGCCCGCGCAGCAATGCAGGGGAGAGCCCTGCTAGGCTGGGAGGCTAATAATGCCCGACCAGGACTGCTGCGAGGGAGCCCCACTCCTCAGCGAGGGCCGCGGGACTGGGGCCTGCTCGCCCTGGGGCCGTGGCCCGTGGCCTCCTTCAGAAGCATCGCTCGGAAGAGGCTAATTATAACCACGCAAGCATCCCACTGCACCTTATTAGATGCAGCACGCACTGCCGGGTGTAATTTATGGCAGATATGCTACCTGGCTGTAAAACAAGCATATAAAAATAGCCAAAAATGTAGCCAGGCAGCTTGAACCAAGACAAAGCAACCAGCCCGGCCGGCCCAAGCGCGCAGCCGGCAGCAGGTTTCAGCCGCACCCTGCCCTCCCCGGGCTCGTGGGCACGGCACGGGCTCATGCCCCAGCCTCGCACGCTCTGTCCGCCTGTTGCATGGGGCCCTCCTGGCACCACGAATCTCTAACAGGGGCATCAGGCTCCACAGTAAAGTGCCCGGGGTCCCTCCAAGGGTCCCTAGTAGCCTTCAGCCCCCTCCTCTTTGGACTGCAGCTCGTTAAGAGGTGGGCCACAGATGCATTAGCCTGGCCCCTCAGCTGCCACGTTTCATCGCGGAGCAAGGGGGTGTTTGCATCTGAACAAAGCCCCAGAGTGCAGGAGCCCGTGTGCTGCCAGGCAGCAGCAGGATGAGGCCATAAACCAGAGCCAGACTGGCTGGGCTGCCTTTACGGGCCCCACGGGGAGAGCTGCATGGGGAGCAGGAGAGCATCCTACAGCGCCTGGATGCTGGGCACAACTCCATCCTGCGGCATCACACCTTCTCACCCACGGCCCGAGGCTTGTCTGGGACATTCACCTCCCTTCCCTCTCCCCCACGAGCCACAGGACGCCCTGCAGCCGGGGCTACTCGGACTCATCCATCTCGCACGGCCTGCCTCATCGCTTCCTCCAGGACCCAACAGACAACGCAGTCCTTGCGGGCGGCAGGGACGCCGGCGAGCACGGCGCGCTCGGGCACTGGCAGGCGTTCCCTGCTGGGATTATGGGGCGCAATGTCTTGGCTTTCAGGACTGCTGGGCTTTAATAATTTTCGTCTTCCTGTTCAAAGCACGCCCGCAACAGGCTCAGAGCATCCAGAGCCGGAGGCCGACTGTTTGCCTTTGCAAAGTCCTGTTTCTGACCTGCAGCCTGGGCGGTGGAGCGGCGCCCAATTCATTTGAACAGGAAAACAATTCAGAGTTTGGAGATAAACCGGTGGCCATCACATGCGCAGGGTTTTCACAAAAATAGACTTGAAAGAGCTATTTTAATACCTTGCTATTTTCATCCACCAGCTCTGCATTGGCAGGGGAGGGTCAGAGCCATTCTTCCCATTTCGCAGATGGGGAAAACCGAGCCATGGGGTGGGGAGAGGTATTTGTTCCAAGCATTTCAAATTGGAAGAACCCAGGAGTCCTGACACTCCCAGTCCCACGCCCACCCTGCTGCTGCTTTTAGCACACATGAACCATGGTCCCTGCTCCGTGCCCCTCCACACCGCATGGCACCGAAGCCTCCCACTAGCAACCCCAATTCTGCACTGGTATTTCCATCAGGCTCACCCCCTGCTCCCAGTGTCACAATGGTCTGGGGGTCACAAGTGCCTGTCTGGGAGCCGCCGTGGGCCTGAAAGCCCTCCAGGGGAAGGCAATAACCACAGCTAACGACTGCGTTGACACTGAAGTCGGGTTTCCTGGGATAAAACCCTCTCCTGGTCACCAGGAGGCAGCTCACGGAGCATCTTGGCCACTTATCTCACCGTGACCTAAGAGAAACTCAACAAGCAGCCGTCAAACAGTGGGCGACAGACCCACGGCAGCGAGGAGACACCTGAGGATCCTGAGGCCAGCAGATGCCAGCGCAGGAACACTGCCCGGTGGGATCACGCGCACGGCTGCTTTCATAACAGGCCGCTGCACAATTAAATGTCACAAAGAGCCAGCAGGTTTTTTTCCCCGTAAAGCAAACGCTGGAAAATTTCCAGGCGAAGCGTTAAGCCAAAGGAATCCGGAACGACCGCCGTGCTGCTCACGTCGAAACTCTCATTTCAAAAGTCACCGCTGCCTTCATCCCTTCCCACTGCAAACAGCTCCGGCAGCCAGACCGGCTCTGGGTCCGGGGTAGTCGTGTTGTACGATCGCTCCCAGGTTACGTCGAGCAAGGGAGGCACTCGGGCTCGTCCCTGCGATGCTGACGGGCAGGCAGGCGGCACGAACGCCCGCGCTGCCCGGTGTCTCAGCCTGCCGGTGGCTTTCTGGATGTCGGCTACAACCGTGCCGGACACAGAAGCACGGCCAGGGCTTCGTGTGAAGGGGCAAAGTGGGCAGCAGGTGGCGCTCTTTTCCCATGACCCCCTCTGGCACTCCCAAACCCCCGCGCCAACGCGGTACCACTTTCGGACGGGGGCGTTCCAGCCAGCCTGGGGGAAGCACGGCTGTACGGCACTGGCTGCAGCCCCAGCGGCCACAGCCTGAAGGGCAGAGTAGTTCCCCAAATGCCACGGCAGGATTCAGCCCCTTCCCATTAAAGCCTGGAAGCAGCAGACCCCCACGCTGCGCCCAACCAGTATGAGACCAGCTCGGTAGGGCAGGGGCCAAGGCACGGTGGTGCCAGAGACAGCAGCAGGCCCTGAAGGCTCAGCAAGGAGAGCACCGTGTTTGGCCCCCTGGCATGGACCCCTTGCAGCTGCCTTCTCCCCTCCAGGGCTCACCGGGGACCCTGCACTGCTGACCTGAAGCCCCGTGCTCCAACCCGTCTCAGCCTAGCATTTGCAGCTGACCGGCGCTGAAGAGGGCCAGTAGCCACCCTTACTCCCACTCGGAGGCTGGAAGTAGAGACGGGCCCGAGCGCTGGCTGCTGCAGTGCAGTTTGGTTCCTTTCGCATGCAGCTGCTGCGCAGGGGTCCCCACCTGGAAAGCAGGTACTGGAGCCTCCCTGAAGACATGGGCTGCACCATAAAATACCCGAGGGCAGAGAGGAAGAGGAGCCCCCTGGCAGCCTGCGGGCACCTGGGGCTGAGCCCCTTGGACTGAACAGGTCTCCGTTCTGCAGCTATCAGCACCAGAAAGGGCTTTGCTGAGAGTGGAGGAAGACAAGAATGTGACCCCTTGGGAGGAGGCTCCTGGGACTCCCTGCACACGGGCAGGGGGCAGGTTCGGTCCAGGTGAAACCAGCCCATGCTTGCCCCCACGTCCCGCGCAACACAGAACAACTCTGCGGCGATCGGCCCATGGAAACAGCTCCTCCGCGAGCCCAGAGCTAGCGACTTTATTTTTTGGCAGAGATATTCAGAGCGATCGTGGCTTGACACAGAAGCCGGAGGGCCGTGAGTTTTGGTCGAAGCAATGTCTGTGTCCAGGAGGAAGGGGCGGCGCAGAGCCAGGTCTCCCCGGGTCTCAGCTCCCTACCCTACCTGTGAAGGCTGTTGGTTGTCTGCGGGTCTTGGTACCGCTCAGCAAGGGGCTCCTGGCTCCGATCCAGCAGCAGAAACGCAAACTAGACCGACAGGCGCGCAGTCACTGCTCTGGGTCTGGCCC